CCTCGGCCTCGGCCTGGGCCTGAACCTAGGCATGGGTGAGGCCACTGGCGAGGCGGAGGAGGAGGCGGCCACGGCCGAGGCGGTGGGACGCCTGGCCAAGACGCTGTGGCTGCGGCTCCGCGGATGGGAGGCAGTGCTGGCGGCGGCGCAGCGGCTGCTGGTGTGGGAGAAGCCGCTGCACAGCTTGGTCACGGCGGCCGCGCTCAACGGCCTCTTCTGGTAACGGCCGCGGAGGAGGGGGCGGGGCCGGGCTGAGCGCGGAGAGCGGGGGCGGGAGAGGCCGGGAGTACCACTGGCCTTTCTGGATTATCGCTTGGCTTGGGAGAGTGACCCATCCCCCGGTTTTTGCAGGCTGACAACCCCCAGGTTGCCACTTTTCTCTGTGCCTGGGTCACGAGTTAGGCCGGGAGGTTCCATTCCCATGTCAGTGGGCGCTTTTCCACCTTTTGAGATTTATGCAGGTGCCTCTCTTACCCACTCACCACTGAAGTGTCTGTCTTTCCTTAAGGTTGCTGTCTTCGTCGTCCCTCCGGCCCTTCTTCCTACTCAGCGTCTCACTTTTGGCCTATTTTTTGCTGGATCTCTGGCAGCCTCGCTTTCTCCATGACGTTTCAGGTGTGTTTCTTCATTCATTTGGTGCGCACCCCTTGGGCACTTGCTTGGTGCCTGATCCCGCTGGGTAGGGTTGGATGGTAATGGGAACATGCAGCAGGCCACCTGCCTCCAGGCATTACCTTCTCCTTTCATGTTTTAAGAAATTTCCTAAATTGGGAATTGCCCCTTTCCCAAAATTAACATTACTGTGGGCATGGTGGTTAATATTGTGAAGTCTGCAACCAGATTGGATTCAGTTCTCTGCCACTTACCACGTGTATGACATTGTAAGAGTCTCTCAATCTGTTTGTTTCCTTGTTTATAAAACAGGGACGGTAGAGCTTACTTCATAAGGAGCTGAAAATTAAATGAGTTAATGTATGTTTATAGTAGTGCTTTGTGTGCATGAGCTATATAAATATGAGGTCATTGTTGGTTTTCTTATCTATTTACTTAATAGAAATTTTGGAGCAATTAGGTGCCAGACTGTGTGTGAGTTACATGGAATATAAACATAAATAAAATGTGGCTCCTGTGTTTGAATAGGGTAAATTCTATAGAAGGAGGCAGACACACAAACTATAACATTTAATACCTCCTGTGACTGGCGTCTGAAGAAAGTGCTCTTGGACAGAAGGGACAACTATTTCTTCCGTGGGGAGTGTTTCCCAGGGCCCCTACCACTCAGTGATTTGTCCCCCCTCCTCTCTCTATGTAGCATCATCTCCAGAAGAGCCACACTCTGACAGGTGAGTACAGACCACATCTTGAAGACAACTGCCCAAATCCTGTCTTGCTTGCTGGTGCCAATAATACTACGAAGCGGAGCATGCCACAGCTTCTGCAGGCAGAAACTCTAGTATAGTGGATGAATTGGTAACAAGCCACAGAGTTTTCTTGGTCCTAGGCTGCTGTGTAGGTGTTTGCATGCCTGCTTCTTTGGGGATAGAAGGTTGGGTTCTCTGGTCTTTGCTTCAGAACAGCCTCCTCTTGGGAAGTGGGGCTGTTCACTTTTTTAGACTAAAGAGTTCATTGGCATTGTCAGAGGAATTTGAGTGTCTAGGAAGCCGGTGTCCAAGGCTTCCAGGGGTCATGTCATGTCTCCCCAGTGAGGGTGCAGGGTCAGGCGCCCAGCCGCACCTGCTGAGTGTGCCCGAGTTGTGCAGATACCTGGCTGAGAGCTGGCTCACCTTCCAGATTCATCTGCAGGAGCTGCTGCAGTACAAGAGGCAGAATCCAGCTCAGGTAACCTCCCCTATGTCCTACAACAATTCCTTGCACCGAGGGGGAATAGAGGTGAGGGCATAGGGGAGAAGTGATGTGAACTTCCTGGTTGGAGACCCTGAAGGAAGAGGCCTGCGTGCCTCTTTTAGGCAATATTCACAGCTAGTTTTTGGTACAGGAGGCGGGTACACTTCAGTGAATTAGGCTTCTGATGGCCTGACACTATTTCCTGCCAAGGCACCTTGTGTGAATTTTAGGTGTTTGGCTGTATCTGTTACAAACTTCCTAAATTGGTGGTTTTGAGTATCTTCTTGACTAGACTAGATCATCACATTTCTTGAGGGCATATCCATCCTTCCACTAGCTGATCAGTAATTTCTTTCCCAGATGAGTAGGGCACATACCTAAGCCCACTAGTCTTCTTAGACCCTGTGCTCTTCTCTGCAGTTCTGTGCTCGAGTCTGCTCTGGCTGTGCTGTGCTGGCTGTGCTGGGACACTATGTTCCAGGGATTATGATTTCCTACATTGTCTGTGAGTAGGGTCTAGTCCTGCCCGTCTCAGAGCCCCCTCCTTTCTTTTCCTGGACTGACCCAGAGAGAGGACTGTGCTCTCTCTGTTTAGTTTCTGATTTGTGGAGGTCTCCAGGGATGCTTTAGTGTTAGTAACAGTGGAGGAATCTTCTGGGGAGGAGGGCAGTGGATGTGGAGGGAAGAGGTTGGCACAGCCTTGGGAAAGGACCCCCACCTATCTTCAACCCTTCCTGTTGAGGGACCAGTTGAATGGGGGCCCTTAGGAAATTGACATAGGAAGCTCTTAGTGGACTTTCTAACCCATAGTGCTCAGTATCCTGCTGTGGCCCCTGGTGGTTTATCATGAGTTGATCCAGAGAATGTACACACGCCTTGAGCCCCTGCTTATGCAGCTGGACTACAGCATGAAGGCAGAAGCCGATGCCCTGCATCACAAGCACGACAAGAGGAGTAAGGGACTCCCTTAACCCAGGAGGGTGAAAACTGGGGAGGACCTTGGCTTATGGCTTGTGAGATGCCCTGAACTTTAGATCTTCCCTGGTTCCTTGGTAATGTTTGTCTCCCACCATTATTCATGCTTGGTCATTTCCCTACTCTCTTGCTTTTCTAGAACGGCAAGGGAAGAACTCACCCCCAGGAGGTGATGAGCCACTGGCAGAAACAGAGAGTGAGAGCGAGGCAGAGTTGGCTGGCTTCTCCCCAGTGGTGAGATCTAGGGGAGATGGGAGTGTCAAATAGAAGGCTGGACATGGAATTTATCTGCTTTAGACCTGCTACCTCTCAAGTGTGTGGAAGTTAGATGCTTTGAGGGAGTAGGTACTCCAGAAAAACTGGTTCTCTTACTCCTCACCTATTGTGTTCATCCTGGTTCTCTTGCAGGTGGATGTGAAGAAAACAGCACTGGCCTTGGCTATTACAGACTCAGAACTGTCAGATGAAGAGGCTTCTATCTTGGAGAGTGGTGGCTTCTCTGTATCCCGGGCCACAACTCCACAACTGACTGATGTCTCTGAGGGTATGGAGAGCCCTTTGCCCTTCTTGGTCTTTCTGTTTTCTGCCATGGGATGCTGGTTGTGCTCTCTGACCTCTGACCTCCTGTAAATGTTTTCTCTGGGGAACTGATCCTCTAATTCTACTCAGCTTCTGAAAGACCTTAACACCTAAGACTTAGTTTAGTATTCCATTTCTTGAGTTCTCATTCTTGAACTACTAATAGGTTGTTGTGGCCAATCAGAGTAGCAGACCCACTCTCAACCCTTCGTTCTCTGTAGATTTGGACCAGCAGAGCCTGCCAAGTGAGCCAGAGGAGGCCCTGAGCCGGGAACTGGGAGAGGGAGAGGAGACAGAGCTGGCTCCTCCCGAAGACCTACTGGGCCCCCCTCAGGCTCTCTCAAGGCAAGCTCTGGACTCAGAGGAAGAGGAAGAAGATGTGGCAGCTAAGGAAACCTTGCTACAGCTTTCATCCCCCCTTCACTTTGTGAACACGCACTTCAATGGGGCAGGGTCCCCCACAGATGGAGTGAAATGCTCCCCTGGAGGACCAATGGAGACACTGAGCCCGGAAGCAGTGAGTGGTGACTTCACCGCTCCATCCAGCCCCCTGTCATCCCCACTTTGCCTTGTTGAAAGTGACCCAGTCCCCTCCCCTTCCATGCTCCCACCTCTTTCCCAGGACTCACCCCAGTCCCTGCCTGCCCCTGAGGAAGAAGAGGCACTCACCACTGAGGACTTTGAGTTGCTGGATCAGGGGGAGCTGGAGCAACTGAATGCAGAGCTGGGCTTGGAGCCAGAGACACCTCCAAAGCCCCCTGATGCTCCACCCCCTATGCCCCTGGAGCCTGACACCCATTCTCTGGTACAATCAGACCAAGAGGCTCAGGCCATGGCTGAGCCATGAGCCTTGAGGGAAGGAGCTGCAGGCACAGTAGGGCTTCCTGGCTAGGGGTGTCGCTGTTTTCTCCTTTCCCTACCACTCTGGGGAGGGACAATGCATGGGGAAGCTGGCTGTCAGATGGTAGCCAGTCCAACCTCTTCCTGCCTGCCTGCCTGCCTGCCTGCCTGCTGTCCTGGGCATGGTGCAGTACCTCTGCCTAGGATTGGTTTTAAGTTTTGTAAATAATTTTCCATTTGGGTTAGTGGATGTGAACAGGGCTAGGGAAGTCCTTCCCACAGCCTGCACTTGCCTCCCTGCCTCATCTCTATTCCCATTCCACTATGCCCCAAGCCCTGGCAGTCTAGCCCTTTCTTTTTCTTCCTATCCTCAGGGACCTGTGCTGCTCTGCCCTCATGTCCCACTTTGTTGTTTAGTTCAGGCACTTTATAATTTTTCTATCCTGTCCTGCGTCCTTCTCTGCTTTATTTCCTTGCTGTGTCCTGTCCTCAGCAGCTCAATCCCATCCTTTTCCAGTCCCTCCTTCTCAGCAGGCACCAGCTAAGCTTTAGGGAGACTTCTGGTCTTGGAGGTAAACAGTAAACCTGGGCTAGTGGGTCAGGCCAGTAGTTATGCTCTTAGGTCACTAGTTTGTAACCTCCACTGCACCCTTGCTCTATTCAGCCCAGCCTTTCATGATGCAGGAGGAGAGCAGGGATCCCACAGCACATGGGCCAGCGCTGGGGTTGGTGAGCATGCATTCTGTCTCATTGAGATGAGGGGCTTCCTTACTGCTACTCTAGTCCATGAGTGATCTGAGTGTGGTAGGACCCCCTACTAGGGTCAGGAAGTGGACAGTAATATCTGTGCAGGTATCAACTGGAAAAATAAAATGTTGATTGGCTAGAACTGCTGCCTGCCTGCCTGCCTGCCTGCCTCACTGTGAGTTGCCTCCCATACTCTGTGCTTTGTCTTCTCCTCCCCCTTATTCCCTTCATCCCAATCTTGTTCTTGACTGTTAATTGCCTTAGTGCAAAACAAGACCAGAAGCAAGGATTACCCTGACAACCCTAACTTTCCCTTAGCCATCCTTCCTGATAGTGCGATATGTTTAGTGAGATTTGGCATGTGTGAATAAAGTACGCAGGAGGAAATTGCCTTGTCTTCCCAATCAGTAGAAATTTGGGACCATAGCAGTTTTTTATCAGGTGCCCTCAACCTTAACAGTGTGTTCTTAAGAAGTCTTTACCAGTCTGCATGCTAACAACTCACTCAGCCCTGATTTATCTATTCTGAGGAAGCCAAACAAGTAATAGACAACCTATATCTATATTAGAACTGATCTTGGGCCAAAGAACACTAAAGAAATAATATCTAACACTTCATGTGCAATATGTACTTGGCACTGTTTGAAGTGATTAGTATGTATTAACATGTTTTTTCCTTACAACTCTGAGATATTGTTATTAATTAATTCTTTTTTGCAGACAAGTTAACTTCCAAAGGCCCCAAGTCCCAGTAAATGGAGCCAGAATCCAAAGCCGAGCATTTTGGCTTCTGCAAACACATCGAACAGTAAGCCCCTGTCCATTAGTAGGGCACAAATAGAGAAATGCTCAAGGATGTGGGCACTACACTGAACCAATCTAATACCTTGGCTTCATAAAGAGGGGACTCTTGGCAGCCCTTCCTCGTTGAAGAAGAAAGGCTCAGAATTGAGTAGATGGTCTCTTTTATGAGTTCATGTCCTCAGCCTTCAGCTGAGGGTACCACATAGCAATACAGCCTGTCTTTTTGAGGTTGACGTCTATGTCACGTCTTTTCTGAACATGAGAATTTTTCTATTTGGTTTATGTTTGCCTAAGAATGTTTCAGGGTTAACTGAAGCCCTTTTCTGTGCCACCGAAGGAACGTGAACTTTTAATCAGCTAGAGATTTCAGAAGAGAATGAAAAAACCGTTCAACAAACAGGCAACTCAAGAAAAATAGAAACAACCAATAAAAAAGTCAATGGCTGCCATATGCCCTACATTTAATCCATTTCCTTGCTAAACTTGGGAGTTTGAGGATAGTACCAGAAGCCGTAACTGGATTAAAATATTCCCCACAGACTTGGGAGTTCCATGAGGGTCTATTTTTGACATTCACTCTGGTCTGATGCAACCATGTGTTTGTCTATGATTTTTTTTTTTTTTTTAAACCATGATCAGGTGTCCTGGCCATTTCATACTCCATGATGAAAGGGACAAGAAGAAAGCTTTTTCCTATGAGTGAAAGAAAAAATGAGCAGAAATGTGAAACCTACAATTGAGCAAAACAAAAGTCAGTTGTAAAAATACAGTCTGAAGGAAGAAGAGCTGGCTATGTGTTTATGTTGGGGGAGGGGGAGTGCTGTTTAGTTAACTATGTATTCAAACATCTAATAACAGTAATGTGTTTGCTCATAAGCTTTGTTTTAGGCTGTATAAATAGAGGTGTAGTCACCAAAACTAGAAAGGCAATAAATACTTCTAGTGTAATGTGCACAAGTTAATACTACTGCCAGAGGATGACTTGCTATACTTGTGAACAGATTGACAAGTTGCAGTGTGTCCAGGATAGGACTGCTAGTAATGAAAGCTGACAATCATATGACAAACAGTTCAAGGAATTAGGAATCTTTAATCCAAGAAGACAGCTAAGTGTGTCACATCAGCTGCCTTCCAACTTCAAAGGACAGTAGGACTCCAGAAGGCAGAACTTCAATCTTTGAGTTGTTTGATTGATAGTAGTTCTAAGTAGAGTTTAATTTTCTGGCCAAAGGATATAGCAAACCAGGTTTAGATGACCTTCAAAAATATAATGATAAAAGGCAGTGATTCTAGGAATAATTCTGTCATGGAAGGACAATATTTCACCATGTTTTGCTTATAGTGTCCGACTAAAATCTGTTTAGACTTACCCTCTTCCTACATCTACTGCCTTAAAAGTTGGTGGGGGGGTTTTGTTAGTTTTCAGGTTTTTTGTTTTTTTGTCATCAGGATCTCACTGTCACCCAGCCTGGAGTCCAGTGGCATGATCACAGCTCACTACAGACACGTGAAACCATGCCCAACTAATTTTTAAATTTTTTTGTAGAAACAAGATCTCGCTACGTTGCCCAGACTAGTCTCAAATTTCTAGGCTAAAAAAAATTCCTAGGCTCAAGTGATCCTCCCACCTTGGCCTCCAAAAATGCTGGGAATACAGGCATGAGTCACTGCATTGGACCAAAAAGTGATATTTTGTTGAGTGTCCCTGGCACATTTATCTTTGCACTCTGCTCATTTATCCTGGGAATTTTCTTTTCTTTTTTTTTTTTTTTTTGAGTTGGAATCTCACTCTGTCATCCAGGCTGGAGTGCAGTGTGGCACACTCACGGCCACCCCAGCGTCGACCTGCTGGGCTCCAGCGACTCTTCTGCCTCAGCCTTCCAAGTAACTGGAACTAAAGGCGCATACCATGCCCAGCTAATCTTTTATTTATTGTAGAGCTGTCTCACCAAGTTGCCCGGGCTGGTCTCAAACCCGCAGGCTCAGGCAATCCACTTGCCTCGGCCTCCCAAAATGCTGGGATTACAGGCTGAGCCACCGAACCCGGCCAGTCCAGGGCAATTTCATGTACTCACCCATTTAGTTCCCACTCATGCTGCTGACTTCTGATCTTAGGTCAATTCCTTTACCAGACTTCCAACTAGGCATCTCTCTTGAATCTCCCATGGTTACTACTGTAGTTTGAATATCCCCTCCAAAACTCATGCTGAAATTTAATCCCTAATTTGGCAATATTGAGAGATGAGGCCTTCAGGAGGTGATTGGGTCATGAGGACTCTGCCCCCAAGAAGAGATTCATCCATTCATTGATGAAGTAGAAGAGGAAGAGAGACCTGAGCTAGCATGCTCAGCCCGGTAGCCATGTGACACTCTTCACCACCTCAAGAGTCTGCAGTGTCCCCATCAGCAAGAAAGCCTTCACCAGACGCGAACCTTTCATCTTGGGTTTCTCAGTCTCTGCAACTGTAATAAATTCCTTTTTAAATTAACCCAGCTTCGGGTATTTTGTTATAAACAACAGAAGACATACTAGGACAGGTACTTTCTGCTCAACATACGAAAAACCGAACACATCCTCTTCCCACCTTGCATTCCACTCCCTATCTCCATTAAACAGAAAGCTGCTTTTGTGTTTTCTATCTCGCTCGCTGGCACCACCAACCATGAAGGCTTACTTCTTCATCGATCACCAGTTGCTTCCAATTCGGTGTCCTAAAGATTTCTTGACTCATCATCTCCATCACAGCCCTGACTCACACCTTCATCTCTCACTTGCTCACTTGGCCCACTGTGACAGTTTCCCTGCTGACATTCTTGTGCCCCACCTGAAATGTATACCCAGCAAGGTGGCTAGATTATTTTAAAATACAAATCTGATGACCTCTCTGCAGTTTTATATATGTATATTTGGGTTAGAGTCTCACTCTGTCGCCCAGGCTGGAGTGCAGTGGCATGTCATGGCCACTGCAACCTCGACCTGCTAGGCTCAAGCAATTCTTCCACCTCAGCCTTCCAAGTAGCTGGAACTACAGGCATGTGCCACCATGCCCGGGTAATTTTTTAATTTGTAGAGACAAGGTCTCACCAAGTTGCCCAGGCTGGTCTCAAATCCCTGGGCTCAGGGAATCCTCTTGCCTCCACCTTCCAAGGTGCTGAGGTTACAGGCATGAGCCACCGCGTCTGGCTTTTGCTATTTAATATTAACCAAAGGCTCTCTGCCTCCAAGACAAATTCAGGCTCTTTGATATGGTAAGAAGTCTGAGATTCAACCCTGCAGTGTCTTGCTCTTTACGCTACAGCAACAGCAAACCCTAACCAGCTTGTCTCTCACTGCTCAGCTGCACTGCCCTCCCCTGACTCTTGCTCTACATACATATATCCTATCCTTCTGTTTGGCAAACACATCACTTGTCTTTTAAGATGTACTACTCAGGCCACATCTCATCTGCAAACCTCCCCTGATATCCCACGTCACCAACCCACCCCCTATGTCAGTCCTACTCTCCTAGCAGTCCCACAGTGTCTTGCATACTTCTGTTTTTCCACTTATTACAGATAATCTTTGTACTTTCTAAAAATACATGGATATTGAGTATTTAAGTATATAGATATGTGTTAGCCTCCACTATACATATTGCTTATTTTTGAGAGCAGAGACAATGTCTTATTCATCTGAATACTCCCAAAGCCTAGCACAGTGCCTGGTCCATAGTAGGTGCTCAATAAATTTATGTTGGACTAAGCTTAATAGTGTACTAGAGCATCCAGTTCTAACCTTTGAAGAAGTAAGTAAAAAGAGTTTGGTGATTGGCACTCATCTGTTTATGGTAAATATCTTGCCTTTGTTCTTTATTCTAGAGTGAATAGCAGCTAAGTTAAAATAATTCACAGATAGACTTGTGAGTTTTTTTTTCCTGGACTAGGATACAGGCAATGCAAACAATCTGGATCTCAGAGGTTTGTATTTGCTGGTTTTGGAGCTAAAGGTTTTCTGACTCTAAGACTGTCCACCTAGCTTGATCTTCTGTGATTCTATCAAATTATATTATTTGGAAAACAATTTAGACTCAAATCTATTTATTTCTTTATTTATTTATAGAGTCTGTCTCTGCCGCCCAGCACCCAGGTGCCCAGGCTGAGAGTGGAGTGGAGCAGCGTGATTATATCTCACTGCAGCCTCGAACTCCCCACTCAAGTGATCCTCTCAGCCTCTGGAGTAGCTACGATTACAGGCACAAACCACTACACCTGGCTGAACTAAATATTTTGATCAAGAATCCGGTGATATGTTTTAGTGCTTGCTTGAAAAAACATGATCTGTGACTCTGAAGTAATGGATCAGGTTTTAAAAGTCTGGGTTTGCTTGTTTAAGTATAATAAGTGAGTTGGGCTGGGCATGGTAGCTCTTGCCTATAATCCCAGCACTTTGGGAAGACGAGGCTGGAGGATTGTTTCCCACCAGGAGTTTGAGATCAGTCTGGGCAACACAGCAGGACCTTGTCTCTATAAAAAATTTTAAAAATCAGCTGGGTGTAATGGCACGTACCTCCAGTTCCTGCTACTCAGGAGACTGAGGTGGGAGG